CTATACTCTTGAGTCTATCAGCTCTCTGTCTGAAGGTGGACAGCATTTTTTATCATTGAATCCTTTGGAATTCTGACAGATCACTGTATTGGTCAGAATCACTATATCTTTCACAGTTGCTTATATTTACAATGCTGCCGTTACAGTATAAATTGTTCTCCTGGTTCTGCTTACTTCATTTTGTATCAGTTCATAAAATTCTTCTTGGGTTTTTCTGAAACCACCTCCTTTATCATTTCTTACAGCACAATAGTATTCCATCTCATTCATATGTCATAACTTGTTCAACCATTCCTCAACTGATGGGCATCTCCTCAGCTTTCAATTCTTTGCTATAATAAAAAAAAGTTGCTATAAATATTTTGGTATAGATGGGTTTTTTTCCTCCTTTGATCTCTGTGGGGCACAGACTTAGTAGCAGTATTGCTGGGTCAAAAGCAGAAAACTAGGCACAGACCAACAGCTCAAACATATACCAAGATAAGCTTAAAATGGATAGATGGTTTAGATATAAAGGGTGCTATCACAAACAAATTGGGGGGAATGGAAGAAATCACCTGCCAGAGGGAAGGAATTCATCAACAAACAAGAGACAGAGGTTCATAGGAGGTAAAATGGATACTTTTGATTACATAAAATTTAAAAAAACTTTGCAAAAACAAATCCCATGCAGACAAAATTAGAAGAAAAGCAAGAAAGTGTGTGTGTGTGGGGGGAAATGCTGCTACAAGCTTTTCTGATACAAGGTTTATTTCTCAATTACATAGGGAACTGAGCCAAATTTGTAAGAATAAGTGCCATTCCCCAATTGATAAATGATCAAAGGATACAAACAGGCAGTTTTCAGAGAAAGAAATCAAAGCTATCAATAGTCATATGAAAAAATGCTCTAAATCACTAATGATTAGAGAAATGAAAATTAAACAACGCTTAAGTAACATCTCATATTCACTGGATTGGCTAAGATGACAGAAAAAGAAAATGACGAATGCTAGAGAGGATGTGGGAAAAGAGGTACACTAATGCATTGTTGGCGGGGCTGTGAACTGGTCCAGCCATCCTGGAGAAAAATTTGGAACTATGTCAAAAAAATCTATCAACCTGAGCACATGAGACACAGCAATATCTCAACTAGATTGACATCCCAAAGAGATCAAAGGGAAAGGATCCAGTAGCTATCTCAAACTAAATTTATCCAAACTGAACTCAGTATCTTCTCCCCAAAACCACACCCCAGCCCTTTCCTGTGACTGTGGGGGGCAACGCCATCCTCTCAGTCCCTCAGATGCCCCCAGCCTAGGGGTCTTCCCGGCTCCTGTCTCTTACCCTCCATACCCAAGCTGTTGGGAAGGCATCTCACCATCGCGCCGTCCCTCTAACACGCCCCTTCCTCTCCTCTGTCACCTTATGCCTAGGCTACTGTAATAGATGCTGGGGGGTCTTCCTGCCTCAAATCTCTCTCCAATCCGATCTACCCTCTACCCAGCTGCCAAAGTGGCTCTCCTGAAGTGCAGGTATGACCATGCACCACCACCCCTAAACTCAAAAGGCTTCCTATTGCCTCCATGACTAGATACAAAGTGCTTTTTTGCCCTTCACCTGACCCCCCCTTACCTTTCCTGTCTAAACTCTCTGACTCGAGATACGACTACTAGGCTTATACCCCAAGGAGGTCACTGATAAGAAAAGAGTCCCTGTATACACCAACTATTTACAGTAGCACTTGTTGTGTTATCAAAGAACCAGAAACAAAGTAGATACCCACAAATGGGGAATGAAGGGGAAGGGAATAAGTATTTATATAGCACCTACCATGTGTCCGGCATTGGAATAAGTGCTTTTTACAAAAACAAATATTTCATCTGATCTTCAGAGCTACTTTGGGAAGCAGGTATCATTAATCCCCATTTTACAGGTGAGGAAACTGAGGCAAACAGAGATGAAGTGACGTGCCAAAGTTCACACTGCTAAACTCAGGCCTTCTGACTGCAGGCCCAGCACTCTCCCCATCATGCCACCAGCCGCTATCTAAATAAACCGTGGTGCAAGAATGGAATGGAATGCTATTATGCGGTAAGAAACAAAGACTATCCAAACTGCTGTTTCCAGAAGGCTGGGTCAGCAACCATGATAGGCTTACCAAAGTTTGCCCAGACCTCCTTGCTAAGCAGGAAGCAAAGGGAAGAAAACTCTAGCAGCTAGGTGGGAAAGGCAAGGGCTAGATGAGTACTGATACAGAGGCCGGCTGGGTGTCAGGCATGGGCTAAGGGGTCGAGGCTTGAATCAGAACAAACTCAACTCCGACCCGGCCTCTGACTTGGGAGATCCTCCCTGAATCAGACTCTTCAGCTGTAAGATGAAGGGGCTGTACTTGATGTCTCTAAGGCCCCTTCTAAGTTGAAACAGATGATCCTATGAAATAGGACCCTTCTCAGGAAGAATCCTCACTGCAATGGGAGTGGAGAGGAGCTTTAATTAAAAGAATCTCTGTAGGCCTTCGGTATGAGAACAAAGCGTATCCTGATTCACCAACATGGAAACCTCAAGAGGACAAGCTGTTGACGTTGTGTTCCTTGGACAATCCAACGGGCTTCAGCAGGAGGCAGAGTGGGAAGATCACTGCAATGCAAGTCTGAAGAACCAGATTACACGGGGGGTGGGGGGAGCTAGGTGGTGCAGCGGATAGAACGCTGGCCCTGGATTCAGGAAGACCTGAGTTCAAATCCGGCCTCAGACACATAACACTAGCTGTGTGACCCTGGGCAAGTCACTTAACCCCATTGCTCAGCCAAAAAAAAAAAAAAAGAAAAAAGAAAAAGAAAAAAGAACTAGATCACATCCCTGGATTTTCCAATGACTTTCTTTGCCAAGTTGGCCAAAACACACCCACCCTCTGTGCTTCAGTTTCCTCACTTGTACAATTAGGGGATTGGAGCATGTAGTCTTCAAAGGCCTTTCCAACATTCAGGTTCTACAGTCTCGCTCTCCTCCTTTGGCATGGAGTTCTATACAGTTTGAATGTCAATGCCGACACCCAGCTCCTGAGGGTGCTGATGAAATTTACAGTAGGCCGTATTTAATGAGACTGTATCTTTATCATGTTGTGATTACAAAGAAAAAATAGACTATAAATCCCTCTACTTGTTCAAGCAATCCCATTCCATCTCATCACCTGCAACTCGGTCATCCCCCTCTCCTTTCAGTTCTCTCTTTTAATTATTTCCTTTTTATCCTGTATATAGCTTCCTTTGCACACATCTGTTTGCACGTTGTCTCCCCCATTACATAAGTTCCCTGAGGGCAGTGACTGTCTTTTGCTCCTTTTGTATTTCCAGTGCCTGGCACACAGCAGTCACTTAATAAAAGCTGACTGACTGATCTTTTCAAAAACAAGTTAAGATTCCTCTTGAAAGGGTTAGGGGATGTTTATGGAATAAAGGCAAAAGGAATTTGTTTTTTAAAAAGTGTTGTTGGGTTTTTTTTTAAGGAGAAGAAATGGAAGTATCAAATTTTCTGAAGGATATATGTAGCTGAGATGGAAGGGTAACAAGCATTCATACACAGCAGCCACTATGTGCCAGGCACTGTGTCAAGTGCTTTATCATTATCTAATTTGAGCCTTGTAGCAATCTCGGGAGGCAGGGGTTGGTATTATTTTACCATTGAGGAAACTGAGTCAGAGATAAAGTGACCTGCCCAAGGCCCCACAGCTATTATATGTCTGAGGACACATTTGAACTCAGGTCTTCCTGACTCCAGGCCCAATGCTCTATCCACTGTGCCACCTAGGGGCCAAAGGCGGGGGAAAACATGAGATGATCGTGGGGTTGGTAGGCTCAAACAAGGGCTTTGTAAGGATGGAGGCCGCACAGGCGTCTGTAAAGGCAATATGGAGAGACTGAAGATGGCAGGGGAGTCTGGAGGGGATAGATTCACTTGTACATGTGGAAGGAGAAGGAAGAGACGTGGGAGCAGAGGAGGAGATGGGAGAGTCAGCAGAGGGGGCTGTTCTGCGAAGGCTGAGGAAAGGGAGTCAGCAGCAACGGGAGGTAGTGCTGACGTGGGAAGCCTGCAGGGAAACAGGGCTCAGAACAGTCTGGACAGGGGCATGGCTGCCTCATCGTAGTGAGGGGCCCAAATGAGGTCAGAGAACAGAAATCTCTAGTGAACCCAATCAGCAAAATTCCTCCAGCTCCATCCAGCAGCACGTGAACAAGAGAGAGGGAAGGAGATAGTCTATGGTGGGAAAATGGCGAAATGTAAATGATGAAAAGACCAGAGAGCAAGGGATTCAAGAGCAGGAAACGATGTAGACTTAAGTTAAGAGGTCAAGAAAGGAAAGGGTGGAGAGTATAGGAGTGCTGACCTGGAAAGGCCCTGAGTGGTAGAGTTGTGTTGGATGAGGCCAGCCAGGGCCCACAGGAGGTGTGGGGCAACCTCCTGAATGAAGAATGCCTCCCCAGCCCTAGCAAGGGGTCTAGGAGGTGTTCTCATGAAGGACAGACAGTAGGAGAAGTAGGTGGAGCCAGCCCTTTGGGCTGGGCAGAGGACAGGGGCAGCTCCAGCAGGTGTCCTAGCTAGACTCTTCTGGCTTCCCCAGTAATGTCTGACCCTCATCCTCCAATCACCCTCCCTACTTCCTTGGGTCTGAAGTGAAGAAAATTCCTGAAATAGAGAGTTGGGAGCTATGCACCTGGAATGACAAGAGGTGAAGGACTGGGGCAATCCAAGTGTTTACAAGGGTCCCTGGTGTCGCCTGGAGATGTCCCTCCTTGGCCCTCAGCATCTCTCTCACCTGCTCACTCCGTCTGACATGCGGCCCCTCACCACCAGCAAACTGGGAGGCTGGGAAACAGCTCAAAGCATGACAGAGCAGAAAGCTCGCAGACCTGAGACGTACCTTACGATGTTGCTGGCCACTCCTCCAGGATTCCTTCTTTACACAAAGAATCCTGCAGAAATTCTGACTGCTGTGATCAAGACCAAGTTATCGCTCTTACCTGTTGCTTCAATGTACTCGATGCATCTCTCAATAAAAATGGGGATAGGCTTCTCTGGAGTTACTACGGTGTTTAAAGGCACCCCAAAATAGTTGCTCTCCCACGTTGTCTTTGTGATAGATGGCCGGGGTTTAGGCTTTGGTTTCTGTTATGGAAGAAAATAAGACCAGGGTGAATATTGAAGCAACTGTAAAACCCCAGGCCTTGCAGTAGGCCCCCTGGTATCCAATGTCCCGCCACGGAGCTCTAAGCTGGCCAAACAAGACCAGGCCCTGTTCTCTGACCCCACTGCCAAGCCCTCAAGTCCATCTCTGCCTTTGGACAGGCAATCTTCCTCAGCCAGCACAGAGCACTGTTTGTGCATACCTCTGCATTTACTAGATGGCCTATCACGCCTACTCAATTGTAATCTCCCAAATAACATGGGCCCTCACACAAATACTCTCTGTATACAGCAGATGTTAATGTTGATCGAGTTAAAGACAATCTGCAAAACATCCATAACAAGACAGAGAAGAATGAAGCTGATGCAGAAATACCAAACCAGACAAACACATTAACTCATTCCTTCCCTGACTCTCATTTCTCCTGGTGTTCAGGTCGGGCTAAAGTGAACTCTGGGAAAACACTCAACTCTAACACCTCTGGGCCATGCCTTGTCAAAGAAAGATGCTGGCAAAAGCTTTGCACCAGAGAGGCCAACTCCCCACGGGTAATAACAATGGGATTACTATCTCCCTTTATCAAAAGATTTGTGAAGTAGTAAACAGGAAGTTTTCCAAGTCACCTACACAGATAATGGGTACCATAACTTCAGAAAAATTTTATCTTAAAAGATAAAGAACAGAATTGAAAACAAATTGTTCCCTTCTTTTATCAAATGCCAAGTAAATGTATAGCTTCTCAAAAGGCAGGCAAACTTAATTGAGAGCACTGCCAAAGGAAAGTTTACCACTGAAAATGGAGAAAATGGAAAAGATTCTGTTCATTTTTCAACCACTGTATTTTCCTATGTGCTTCCTGTGTCTTTTATGTGATCAAGACTTATTCCCAAATAGTATGAACACCCCCCCCACACACACACAATGTTGCAAGCACTATTCAATTTACAGAATCATCTATTTTCAGAAGTGGAATAGACCTCAATTACTAAGCATTCATTAAGAGCTTACTAAGTGAAAAACACTATACTAAGAACTGATACACAGAAGAAAATGAAATAATCTCTGTTCTCTAGGAGTTCACATTCCATCAGGGTAAGCAGGACTCCATTCGGAAACATTCTGGACAGGTGGTCATCAACCTGAACCTGGTTACATCCAATCTGATTATTAAGTCATCTGAAAAACATTTATTACCTGCCCACTATGTATAGAACACCATTAGGAAATCCTTCTCATTGTAAGTTCACATTTCCCTCTCTAGACCCAATGGTCCCATACCCAATTTCGAAGGTCAAGTGGAATAAATGTAATCCTTTTTCCATATGACAACCCTTCAAATATTTGATGATGGCAAACATGTCTGCATTCTCTAAGTCTTCTCTTCTCCAGGCTAACCATCTCCAATTCTATCACTTGACTGTGAATGACATGGCTTTGAGTTTCCTCCCCACTCTGCTAGTTCCTCTCTGAATGCACTCCAATCAATGCCTTTCCTAAAATGCAGCCTGCTCCTCCCCCAACCCAGCTCTTCAGCTGTGGTCTGACCTAGGAAGAGAACATGGAGTTTATCACCTCCTTCATTTGGGACACCAGATTTCAATTAACTTAGCCCAATCCCTCCTCCCTCTATCCCCAGCCCATGAAGCTTACTCTGTGCCAAGTGCTACAAGAGAATATGGAAAACAAGGTATTACCTCTGTCCTCAAAAAGCTAGCATGAACAAATACTTTTCATCTCTACAGATACGCATCAAGTTCTGCAACCCTTAGAAAATTTATATTTTTTCAGCTCTGAACAGGCATGGAATTGACAAAAATTAGGTGACACGTCAGACTACTGTATTTATGGGCATCAACTCCCTCTGAGCGCACCAGGCAACCACACAGAAAACGGAGTTACTCAACGGGATTCATGTCTGGGTGCCTAACAGAATTTCACTGATAGGACCTTTTCACACAATCTGAGTTGGAAGGGATCCCAGAAGCTCTCTAAACCAACTAATACATGAGCAAGAAACTCCTCTACAACACAGAAATCATCATGCAGTCTTTCCAAAGAGGAACCCAACGAAGCCCAATGCAGCCTATTTTATTTCTGTACCATTCTATGTGTGAGGAAGTGTTCCCCTATGTCAATATTCATTTTGTGTCTCTGCAACTTTCACCTGTTCCTCATGCTGCCCTCAGGTGTCAAGCAAAACAAGTCTAAAGGTCATACTCCCACTAAGCCTTCTCTTCTTTGATCTAAACTTTCTCAGCTCCTTCAGCTACTCTTCCTCCATTTTGTTTCACCTGAGTGAATAGTTAGGCTAATATCCTGTAAGGAGCCATGATCTTACTGTGAAGCCTTTGTAGTATGTGGGGACTTGATGGAAAATCTGGCACAACTCTCCATCAACAGAAGGCAATCACTTTTCTATTGGGATTTGGCATGGCACATCATCCATGATACTGGTGAACACCTTCAGGCTCGTGCTAACAAAGTTATCTCTCTGGTGCATCTGTCATGCAATCCTGTACAATCTTAACAAATGTTTTGGGGGCACCTACTCAAGAGCCTTTAGGCCTTTATCTTTGTTCTAATGAGCTTTTTTTGTGACTAACAAATTACAGACATAGTTCTATTTTAAATTCTCTATGCTTCTGATTTAGTTGTGTGACAGTGAAGATGTAATTTACCATAGAAAACCACCTGCAAAAAGCCTCCTGGTTCCATTTTTATATTTTCATCTGGATACCCTCTATGTACACAGGCTATTCTCACAGACACCTGAATCTGGCATATATGTGTTAGATATTGCTGATGGCTTAATAATGATTGTCTGTTAAAAATAACGCTACCATCTGTAAAGGGTACTTTTTCATTCTTTTGGAATTTTCCTCTTTGTGATATCTTGAAAATTGACCTCTGAGGGGGCAGCTAAGTGGCACAGTGGACAGAGCACCGGCCCTGAAGTCAGGAGGACCAGAGTTCAAATCCGACCTCATACAAAACAGTTGACACTTACTAGCTGTGTGACCCTGGGCAAGACATTTAACCCCAACTGCCCCCCCCACACACAAGAAAAATTGACTTCTGAATATCTTATGCTTACAGTACTGATTGTATCTGTTTTCTGAGAAGTGGGTTTGCTTACTGCTAAGATACACAACACAACAAGACTGGCTTGTGGGTGAAGAGTGTCTTGGCCACCAAAACCCTTCAAAATCAATAAAACTGAAGATACAGGGAGAAAGTCAGTGAGTAGAAAGCCAGGAATGCCAATACCAAAGCTAGCAGCATTCCTTTCTCTCTGTATCTCATCATGTCTTCTCTGAACCATGATACATCAGCCTCATATCTCTATTCTCTTAAACATCCTTACTGGTTATAGTTCTGGAGGCTCTCATATTCCTACCGAATCTCCAGGCCACTACCAGAAGCTTGCTCTCTCTGTCAGACTGTCTGTCTGTCTCTCCTTCATGCACCATAATGTCTCAAACTTTCTATCCTAAACAAACTCTGTTCAAGATTCTATTCATAACTTTGGTCATACCTGCAAAGGTACATTCAAACAGTTAGTTAATAAGGAAAGTAACAGTTTGTCCAAATTGAAAAATAAACATCATTCTATTGAATTTTCATCTTAAATACTTACTAAGGAAAGTAGTCACGGGTTTGGGGAACCTGTGGCCTCAAGGCTACATATGGTCCTCTAAGTTCTCAAGTGCTGCCCTCTGACTGAATCCAAACTTCACAGAATAAATCATCTTAATAAAAGGATCTGTTCTGTAAAACTTGGACTAAGTCAAAAGGCCCCACTCAAGGAACTAGAAGGCCACAGTTTTCCCACCTCTGTTACAAGTATAGTCATGAATCTTTGAGGTATTTAAAAAGCTTGAAGAGAGTTTTAGATGGCTTTAATGAATAGAATGATTTCAGAAAAATCAGGGAAGATTTGTACGTACTGATGCAGATGATGAAGTAAGCAGAACTGGAAGAATAGTCTATACAATTTTGAAAAACTAAACAACTCTGATCAAGGCAATAACAAACCGCAATTCCAAAACATCAACAACAAAAAACTGTTTCCCACCTCCTCACAAGGAAGTGATGGACACAAGATGCCAGATGAAATATACATTTTTGGACAAAGATAAAGTGAGTTTGTTTTGTTTGACTCTGCATATAAGGGTTTCTTTTTTGTTTTTCTAGTAGGGGAAGAAGATGGTAGAGAGAAGTAAATGTTTGTAAAATGAAAAAATAAATTAATTTTAAAAATAAAGATAATACTAAGTAGCATTTTTACAGTGCTTTAAAGTTTGCAAAGCACTTTGCAAATATTAACTCACTTGATCTTCCCTACACCCCCAAGAGCTATTATTAAAGATGACTCAAACTCTTAAGAAATGTGGAACTTTTGAGATATTTCTATCTGGAATTAAAAGGGAATAAATACTCTGGAAACTAGCCACTGACACAGCATGGTTGGAAAAATATGGTACTATCACAAGGAAATCACATAGATATTAAATATCTGGAGTTAAGTAAAAAGCAGATATGTTTCCTTTTGAAAACAAATGACTGATCTATTTGAATTCTGACCGTGTTGGCTGTGGAGTATTTGTTGCTTGCCTCAATATTCTTCTTTTTCCATTGGAGATAATCAAAATGCAAAAATATAAAATAAGGAAATATGAATTAGGTTGTCATTTATTTAACCTGATGTTCATAATTTGTAAAGAAGTAGATACAAAATTGAGATGGAATCAATTGAATACTGGCCTTGAGGACAATAAAGTCATAGCCAGTCAAAAGGATGGCTTTATTAAGAACAAGTCATGACACACAAATTTAACAACTTTCAAAAATGGAAAAACAAATATAGCTAAAAGAACTACAGTAGTCTTATATTTGCTTTTTTAAACTAAACCATTTAGTACAAGATTCTCCAGAAAATTCTCTTGCGAAGCTGTTTCAGGGTAATTTGGTTAAATGGCAG